CCCCCAACACCCCAGCAGACCAGGGAGACGGGGAGCAAAGACAGCCGCGGCGCGTCTGGGCTGTCCCGCTGCCTGCGTGCTCCACGGCTTTGCTCAGTGTCTCCCTGGACTGCTGGGGGGAGGGATGCAGAGCAAAGCTGCGGAGGACCCGGGCCGGACCGGCGCAGCACGTCTGGGCGGTCCCCCCGCCCGCGTCCTCCGGGGCAAGAAAAGGCCCGTTCGTAAGTATGGCTCCGACATAAGTCAGATCCGCGTAACCCGGCGTAACTCGGGGACTGCCTGTATTTATCCCAGCGTAAGCCCTGGCATAGTTGTACTTGTACTAGTCCAAAGGGATATAGTGGAATGCTGTGCTGGTACAGGCACATTTATACCAGCATAACTACATTCACACTAAGGCACTGGAACTGAACTCTCATGTGTTGACAAGATAAACCAATAGTCCCTAAGTCAGCCCCTGGTACCAAAAATACTCATTGCAAGCCACTGCTCTCCTGCAGGCAGTCACATACTGGCATGTAAATCCCCCAGGCAAAGTCCAGATCTGACTGCTGTGTTTGAAGGCCCTTTCCCACATATCTATTTGTTCTGATTACCACTAACCCCTATCCCAGCAGTAAGCCATTTTTTAGTCTGATTCTCAGCCTTTCGGTCCCAGCACCGAAGCTACTCAGCAACCTGCTCCCCGCCAGGCTCCCACCTCCTGCCTGCAGCACCAATCACCACATGGCCCCTCGCTCCCTCTGACCTATGGTGGTAAGTCTTTTTCATGAGTGGAAGGATTCTAGAGTTGTCTAGATGTTGTTATGGGGATTTACACAGTGTCCAGCGATAAACTGCCTTGCTCATTTCTAAATTTTGTAACTGAAACGAAAGGAAACTGCAACTAGCCAAATCAAAACTGGGCAGGACACAAAGCTAACATCCAAGCTCTGCCTTTTGAAAATTACCACAGTCCGGATTTCACTTTTGTGTCCTGCTCCCTTAGTTTTATTTGCCTTTTACTCATCTAGACACCTGCTTCCCTCCAGGCTTTTATACATGGAAGACACCCCTTTCTTATGCACCAAATGTTTTCCTTTTCCTCCTTCAGGAACCCCTCTGCACACTTCTTCCCTGAAACCTTAAAAACAGTGTCTCCCAAACCTCCTCACATTCTTACCTTCATTTTATACATGTCTGAACTGTTTGTGTGTGTAAACTGCTCCCTGAGGCAGGGATCATATTTATGTCTGCACATGCCATGAGCACAGTCAGCAGTCAATTAATAATAATAGTTTCTTATATCTATTCAGGCACAAAGCTGTGGAAATCAGATAACATTCTATGTCTTATCACCTGAGGCTCTGAATGTCTATGGAATGCAGCTCTTCACGGTTACTTTGTTCTGAGCAACCATGTTGTTTAAGTATTGAAAAGCACAGTACTGAAAGGCAGTGAACTATGTTCTCTCACTTCTGATATTAACTTCTCTCTCTGACCTAAAAGTCATTTGTATGCTTTAGCCCATGTACCCCAGCTGTAATTCAGATATGTTTTACTTTTAGTGATTTAAGCCAAGCTTTTGTAATGTTTTTGGATGCCATCTTGAGACTCCTTAATTTTCAGAGAACTAACCCTTACACACAGATTCTGTGAGTGCTTCAAGGCTGCAGCACCCATGAAAAATTATTATTGGGTGCTTAGCATCCAGTGACAGCCAGATCCCTGGTGTCTGC